ACACACACACACACACACACACACACACACACACACACACACACACACACACACACACCATATCCACACTGAAACTAGGAAACAGTTGGTAACAAACAAACTCAATTACAATGAATCATGTTATAGGGTGCTCTGACACACTGCTTACTCATATCAATCTCGTGATCTAAAGGAAGTTCTGTTGTTACAAAAAAAAATAAAACATTGCAGCAATTCTTAACATTTCCCCCCACCCCCAGGTCCTTCAATTCAAATTACTTTTGACTCTTACCTTCCATACATCTGCATTCACTGCCTTCACATAACTTGACAAGAGATTCTTCTCCGTAAGCATTATAAAAGATAGTGCACTTTTTATCTGCAGAAACAGAACAAGAAAAAGTTTCATTAGTTTTTTTTTTTTGAAACAGAGAGAGATTGATCGTGTAGTAAAGTTAGGGAGGGGAAGAGCTAAAGAAGGGAAGGGATGGAAGGAAGGAAGGAAAGAAGGAAGGAAGAAGGGAATGAAAGGGAAGGGGAGAGAAGGAAGGAAAAGAGAAAAAGGAAGGGAGAAGGGAATGAAAGAGGGAAGAAAAGGAGAGGAAAGGGAGGGAGAAGGGAGGGGAAGAGGAAAGGAGAAGGGAATGAAAGAGGAAAGAAAAGAAAGGGAGAAGGGGATGAAAGAGAGAAGGAAAGGAGAGGAAAGAAAAGGAAGGGAGAAGGGAAGGAAAGGAGAGGAAAGAAAAGCTGGGGAAGGAAAAGAAAGGAAAGGAAGGGAGAAGGGAATGAAAGAGGGAAGAAAAGGAGAGGAAAGGGAGGGAAAGGAAAGAAAAGGAAGGGAGAAAGGAAGGAAAGAGAAGGAGAAGGGAATGAAAGAGGAAAGAAAAGGAAGGGAGAAGGGGATGAAAGAGAGAAGGAAAGGAGAGGAAAGGAAAGGAAGGGAGAAGGGAAGAAAAGGAGAGGAAAGAAAAGCTGAGGAAGGAAAAGAAAGGAAAGGAAGGGAGAAGGGAAGGGAAGGGAAGAGGGAAGAAAAGGATTACATTCTCTTGAAATATGGTAGATTTCTGAGAAAGCTGAATGCCAAATAAGAAAGAGCATTCGACTCTGTAGAATAATCAATACTGAAGCCACCAGCCTAAATTCAATTAAGTTAATGTGCTGAACCAACATGCTTAGCCCCCCCAAAGGGCAGATTCTCTTTTATGGGAAAGCCATCCAAACATGAATTCCTTACCAGGCTCATGATAATCATACACCGAGAAGGTTCCTGGACTTGGCACTCCCACCCGGTAAATTTCAGTTATTCGAAAACCAACGCACAGGAACTCATTTCCTGGAATCTGTAGAGAATAATGCAAGTTCAGAGGGACTCGGGATACATGATATTTCTCTACCCGGCTTCTCTGCCCTGAAACGTCAAGAAATCTTGGATGCGTTGCTATCTCAGCTCTTCTCATGAGCCAATCCGACTTCTGTTGGTTTCCAAAATTAGATCAGTTACAGGAGTGGGGTGTGCAAACCCACCCCTGGCTGAGGCAACTGGGCATAAGAAGTTTGTGGCCTGCCAGCAGCCAGTGGAGCTGGCAGCAGATTCAGACAGTGAGGAGGCTGGGGAGGAACTTGGGCCAGTCCTGGAGTCTGGGGAAGGCTCTGATGAGGGCTCTGTGTCGGAGGCAGAGAGAAGGCCAGGGCCGTATGCCAGTTATCAGCTGCCTTTGGAGTCAGACATCAGTGAGGCAGAAGAACAGCTGGAGCCTGTTCCCAGTGTGTGCATGCGCAGAGTTGCCAGACGAAGGGAACAGCTAAAGAATAAGTGTTGACTTGGGAGGAAGGTCACAGGTGGGGACGATGAATGGCCCCTCCC